CTCATCATTGATGTTTCTATCTCTCTCTCCCTCTCCCTTCGTCTCTGAAATCAATAACAATATATATTTCTTAAAAAGACACATGCTTGAAGCCCCTGGTGGTGCTCTGCTTTATTTGGACTGTCAGTCGTCCCTTCTCTTCTGATGGCTCACTTATGCTTCCTGGGGAGATTTCTTTTAGAGAAATGGTCCCTGCATTCCTAGAAAAAGCACTCGGGCTTTAATGCCCAATATAGGAAACTCCTTTTAATCAAGTAATGGTTAGAAAATGGTTATCCTGATGAATTTCATTATTTGGTTGAGAGTTATAGGTGCCCTTGGATGAGGTACCAGTTTTTGAAGAATCTGAATTCACTAAACATTTTTAAACCTAGTGAGAATATCTAAAAATCATGCCTCTGGAGAGAAAAAGATGAACAGAGATGGCTGAATCCCCAAATCCCAAATCCCAGCCTCTTGTGTGGTCACAGTCCCTCCCTGCTGTCCTATACTACTATTCTACAAGTACACGTATAGGCATGAATATCCCAGATTGTTACTATATTTCCTTATCATTGGTTTCTTAAAGATGGGGCTATATCATACATAATGCATAAAATGGACTATTAGTTCTCACATGAAAAGATTTTTCTTTGATTGCAGGTAATTTTAACTTGTTAAATGGCAATGTACTTATATGGTTCAAAATTCAAAAAGAAATAAAAGTCTATAATAAAAAGTCATCAGCTCATCACTGTCCCTTAACCATCCAGTTCCCTCCTTTAGGCAACAATTTTTATTTTTTGTATATCTGCCCAACGGTATTTTATGCAGTATAATTATGCTATAATTACATATTCCTCCCCCATTTACAAAACAAATTACAGCATGCTACTCATGTGTCAATTTACCTTTTCTAGGTTCTTTTAGTGCAAAAGTATAGTCAGTCTGATGCGAGGTTCTTTGTTTCTCACATAAGGATCCCTATAAAAATAGAATATGAAAAGGTACCTAATATTTATAAACCTTTATTTTTATTAGGAATGGCAAAGAGATACTAGTACTATGCCGGCTTCCCCCTGTCTGTTTTGCATTAGAAACTAATGATTCTAAGGATCTCTTCAAATTTCTGGATAACCTGGTTTGCTTAGTGATGATCACGGTCCAGAACTGCTGGCAGCATTCATATTTGGGGGGGGGGGAGTTTTGAATGTTTTACACTTTTAAAATCTGATGTGCTATAATAGACAAGGACACGTGCAAGCCCCAAACCTTCAGCAGCTGTCAAGCTGTCTCCCGGAGTGGGCTGGTCCAGAGCGGCTGGCCCGGCAGCTGTTGGAGGGGGTGGCAGGACTGGGAAGCATGGAGGGATGGGTCAGAGCGCCGGCACTGGCTTTCCCTCCTAGATATAGTCATGAAACCTCATAGAAGGAACCTAGAGGACATCTCATCTCACTACCCGCTCCTTCCCAGCAGGGTCCCTTCTGCAGTGTCCCCACAAGTTGTGGCTTAAGCTGGGCATGAACACCTCCAGTCACAGGAGGGCCTCCTCAGTAGCTCATTGCTTCAGTTCTGTTGACTCGTTATCATGTTGACTTACTGTAGATTTTACCCACTGACCTTCCATCTACTATATAAAACAAGTTAAATCTCTCTTTATGCCATAGCCCTTTAAATATCTGAAGACAGCGATCAGCAGTCCCCGAAATGAGTCTTTTCTCCAGGTAAAATATCCCCAGTTATAGCAGTTATTTTTCAGATGACATGGTATCTGATTCCTTTTCCATCCTAGTCATTCTCAATCCCTCCAGTTTGCCTGTGCTTTAGGATGTGGGGTCCAGCACTGACCACATAACATTCCCAGGATATTCTGACCGACATACAATAGAGTGGGCTTTTTATCACCCATGTCCTAAAAACTAAGCTACCTTCACTGCTGTTGATACAGCTGAGGATCAAATTTGTTCTTTTGGCAACCACATCCTTGTCTGAGAGAGGGCTTACTGTCACCTGAACCCCACGTGGTCATTACCGTTATTGCCACATGGACTGCTGCTAAGAAAGTCTCCCCCATCCTGTATTTGGATGGTGTGTTGGAGTCCTCCTGGGCACCTCCTTTGGGAGATCCTTGTACCACCTCTTTCCCCAGCCAATGTGGCAGTCACCAGGTCTGTGCAGGTTTCAACGATATTTGCTCAGATACAGTGTGGCAGCACCTTTCTTCAACCTGTCTCTGGCTTCCTGGGATTTTTCTGGGATGCCGCAAAGACTTCTGACACCAGCTATCTGGAGTTGTGCCAAACTTCATGGGTCACGTGCACAAGGCAACTTTACTTCAGGCACCAGCTGCAAGTTTGGGGTTCCCACTACCCCCTCAGGTTCATCGGAATGACTTCCAGGACACAGGAAAGGGCTATATTTACCATTACAGTTTTATTACAAGGACACAAATGAACCAAAGGGAGAGATCCCGGTGGTACCAACACACAGCTTCCATTGTTCTCTCCCTGCTCACATGTGTGGTTTCACTAAAAGCAATCAGATGGAAGGATACAGGGTGGGGCAAAAGTAGGTTTACAGTTGTGAG